AGTGTCCTGGCCCGACTGGTGGACCTTCTGATGGTACCTGGTATTTTTAGCCACTGTGTGACAGAGTGTTGGACTGGATGGGCCGTTGGCTTGATCCAACATTGGCTTCTCTCTTATGTTCTTATAGATGTTGCCTTCTTGTTTTGGATATGGCTAGTTGACCATTATTAGAAATATAGGATGCTGGACTTCAAAAACCAGGGGTCCCCAACATGGTGCCTGTAGGCACCATGGTACCCGCCAGCATATTTCCTGGTGCCCACCAGGTGCTTTTAGAAAGTGGGTGGGGCCAGGTAGGCCTTTTGCCCAGCAGGGCTTCTGATTGGCCATTGGAAATCTGATTGGGTGTGCAGAGTTGCGAAGAGTCCCGTCAGCAACAGCTGCCACCACAACATGAGGATCTTCACTGTTTTACTGTGTGTTCGTTTTAAGAGCCAAACTGTTAAACAGAGCTTCTGCCTGAAACGTGGAAGAGTTACTATTAGAGTTATACAATAACCTTACTCCCTGACATTTTGTGATTGGTTCCACTTCCTGCGGCAGCCATTTTGTAGTTGCACCTACCACCCTGTGTCAGAATGCCAAAGGTGCCCGCAGGCATGGAAAGGTTGGGGACCCCTGCGGAGGAGGATGAGGAGATTGGATTTATATCCTACCCTTCACTACCCAAAGGAGTCTCAGAGCGGCTTACAATCTCCTTTCCCTTCCCCTCCCCACAACAGACACCCTGTGAGGTAGCTGGGGCTGAGAGAGCTCTTTCAAGGACTGCTCCTGAGAGAACAGCTCTGAAAGAACTTGTGACTGTCCCAAGTTTATGCCAGCAGCTGCATGTGGAGGAGTGGGGAATCAAACCGGGTTCTCCCAGATAGAGTTCGCTGCACCAAACTGGCTCACCATGACATGCAGAGGGCTCTCTCTTTGGCAAGAGTCCATCCATTTTCTGATTTATTTTTTCAGGGCAGCATTTTTTTTCAGTGCTGATTTAGCCAGTTGGCCTTCTGCTGCCAAAGGGGATTGTCCTGTTCCAAAGAACTGCAAGTGCCTGCCATTGGAACAAAACCAGTTCCTAAACACTCAATTCTGGACTTGGCATCTACAAAATTTTTGATTAATCCCCAGAGCCAGGCAGTGAGCCAAAGTCTGTCTTAATGGGGGGTTCCTTGAACGGGAAGAACAGTATCTTCCCTAGTGGTTGAGGAGCAGATTTTCAAAAGGAAGACTCTTAAATATGTACAAGAATATCGAGTGGGAAACTAGATCCGTGTGTCAGGCCGTTGCCTTTAGTTTTTTTCTCTCCACTCCTGCTGTTTTGACATCCCTTCTGTTTGCTTCTGGGGAGGGATGGGAAGGGACCCAAAGCGGGTGTAACGTTCAGCCCTCCGGGAAGCAAAATCATGACGCTCTCCTGGATGGCGGAAGTCCCCAGCCGGGCCTTTGTGCTTTCTGAGGAGAGACTGTTTAGTGCAGTCTGCTGGTCTCCTTAGCCGCTGGCACCATGCCGCTGTTGGCACGGATGGCAGTTGATAGGTAAGAGGGGGGCAGTGTGGCAGCAAAATTACAGAGGCTTCATTGTTACCTCAGTAGAGCAGGGAAGCGCTGAGAGGAAGAGGTGAGAATTCACACGTGTGAATTTAGCGTTCCTAACAGTATTGTCACACAGAGCTGCCTTATATAATCAGACCATTGGTCCGCCAAGGTCAGTATTGTCTACTCGGACTGGCAGTGGCTGTCCAGCGTCTCAGGCTGAGGTGTTTCACATCACCTACTACGCGAGCCTTTAAATGGAGATGCTGGGAATCGAACCTGGGACCTTCTGCACACCAAGCAGGGGCTCTTCTGCTGAGCCACAGCCCTCCCACTGGGAGAATGACTAGGGAACAAGAGTGGAGATGCTTGGGGGACGTGGAAGTGGTTTTTAGATATGTGGCACGGAGTTTCCTTTTTGTTTCCCTATATCTCAAGCTTCCGAGTAGAGAGAGACTATATTTTTATTTCATTCATGCCCTGCCTTTCCCCCCAATACAGACCCAAAGAGGTTTACGTCATTCTCCTTTCCTTCATGTTATCCTAGCAGCTATCCTTTGAGGTTGGTTAGGCCAAGAGCGTGTGACAGAACCAAGGTCACCCAGAAAGCTTCCATGGTATAGTTAGGAACTGAACAGCTGGGTCTCGCAGATGCTAGCCCGATACTGTAACCGCCACATCACACTGGCCCTGTGGGGGAAAAGTGATTTGATCTGAAGGCTGTGCGAGGAGGGAAAAACCTGAGGGCAGGTATGTTTTTGTGAGGAATTTTTTTTCTTCTTCTTTAAGCCCAGTGGAGAATCGGACATTTTTGGAACACTGGGGCGGGGAGAAGCTTCCACGAGACATTCTCTCTTGGAATAAATGACAGTGCTTTTTAAGACAAGGTTTTACTTCCTCAAAATGTGTAATTGAATTTTTTTTAAATATAAGACTGTGACATTAGGCAGCCGTGAAGGAGCTAGAAAAGATTAAGTGTAAGGATGTGTCACTGATGACCAAGATCACGATAATTCATACCATAATTCGTAGAAAAAGAGGTGCAGGAGCTCATTAGTATAACTCATTTGCATATGCCACACCCCCTGACATCACCGGAAGTGTGTCAGAAGGCAACACCCACCGCTCAGGCTCCACTGGGCTGTTTTGGATTGCTAGCTATTGGGGGGGGGGAACGTGCAGATCTGTCCTCACAGAGGAGGGAGAGCTTGCACCTGAAGGTGGGCTGGGGGGGGCTCTGCAACTTACCTGGCTGCTTCTTGCGCCTCGTGGCCCAACTGAGGACTGCTGGGTGCAGGGGGCGGGGCTTGCTGCATGTGCACGCCCCCTTACTCCTTACTGCCGGAGCTCCGCTCCTATGCGCTCCCGCAGGAAATGACCCCTGGTATTCACCATTACTGTGGATGGGTATGAAAGTTGGACAATGAAGTTCTTCTTACGTTGCCCTACTAAGTCAAGACTGTGGCTCCATCTAGTACTTTCTGGCTCTGTTTATACATGACACAAAGTTCTGGTTTGTTTTTGCTGGACTGGCTTGTTACTGAGCTGGATCCTGGGTTTCCAGTTGCTCTAATCCGGGTTGGCTCACCAAATGGTGGTTTCATCACACTCCTTCTTACCAGGCATTCCTTTTTTTTTGTTTTATGCAGAAGCTACAGTGAGGGGAAAAGAAAAGAAACAGGATTAAACTTGGCGATCTGCATCAGTGCCCTGACCTGGACGGCCCAGGCTAGCCTGAGCTTGTCAGGTCTCAGAAGCAAAGTAAGGTTGTCCCTGGTTAGTTCTTGGACGGGGTTTCGTTGGCCAGTCTTATTGACGGGGGGTTGACCAAAGAACTACTGTATCTACAGTTAAGTTTTTTGTTCTCTGGAATGAAAATACGGGCTGAGATAACATCCTGTGTTTAATTTTCTCAGATTCTAACCCTCAAGTTGTTAGCTATACTAGGATGAATGATGTACACAGAGAGTTTATGCGGGTAATTAAGTCAATAGCAGTGTGTTTTTTTTCCTGCTTCTGTATGGCTTATGGGCCATAATAAAGACTGACTGACTAGTTGGATGGGAGACCAGCAAGTAAGTCCAGGGTTGCTATGCAGAGGCAGGCAATGGCCGGCCATCTCTGCTCATCTCTTGCCTTGAAGACTCGATGGCAGGGGTGTGATGACCGTGAGCACCGTGGTGCCCGGACACCTTTTCTGGCACTCGCAAAGTGTTTTTAGGAAGTGGGCGGGCCAGGTGGGCCTTTTGCCCAGCAAGAGATTTGACTGGCTGTGCAGATTTTAAAAGACATCACCAGAGCACAAGGATCTTCACTGTGTGAATGAAGGCAAAGCTACGGCACCCTTTTTGTAGCTGGCTCCAACTTTTTTCTTCCGATGACCCCCACCGTGCCCTTCCCTGCCGTACTGTGCAGACAGCACTGTAGCTGGCAAAAGGGGTTTAGATCGCCATCTGGATTGGTTAATTTATTGGTTTACTGTGATAATTTTATGCTGATTAGGCTGATTGTAATGGCTTTTAACGCTGTAAATTGCCCAGAGCCTGCTTGCAGGGTGGGTGAGTCATAAATTTAATAAACCCCTGAAGCAGCCATTTTGTGGCAGCCATCTTGTATCTGCACCCACCAACCTGTGTCAAAATCCCAGAGGTGCCTGCAGGCTCAGAAAGTTGGGGACCCCCGCCTTATGGGCTCGCCAGCAGTCGGCTGTGACCTACAGCACTTCACACGCCTGCATCGGAATATCACTAACTGTGGCTAATAAACCAGACGGTAGTTTCATATCCTAGTTTGACTTCCCCTGGCGACTTGCTTTCAGACAACCGCACACGTGGTTTCATGTATCTGGTATAAACAGAGCACGCAGAAGAGCTGTGCGCATGTGTTTATATGTTTTGCTGAATTGTTTTAAGTAATATATATAGAATCATAGAATCACAGAGTTGGAAGGGGTCCTACAGGCCATCTAGTCCAACCCCCCCCCCCCGCTCAATGCAGGATCAGCCTTGAGCATCCCTGACAAGAGTTTCTCCAGACGCTGCTTAAAGACGGCCAGTGAGGGGGAGCTCGCCACCTCCCTAGGCAGCTGATTCCACTGCTGCACAACTCTTATTGTCAAAACGTTTTTCCTAAGGTCCAGCCAGTAACTTCCCGCCCTTCATTTAAACCCACTGTTGCGAGTCCTCTCCTCTGCTGCCCACAGGATCAGCTCCCTGCCCTCCTCTAAGTGACAGCCCTTCCAATACTTCAAGAGAGCAATCCTGTCCCCCATCAGCCTCCTCTTCTCCAGTCTGAACAGTCCCAAGTCCATCAGCCTTTCCTCACAGGGCTTGGTCTCCAGGCCCCTGATCGTCCTCATCACTCTCCTCTGCATCTGCTCCATTCTGAAAATACAGGCCGAGATAACATCCTTTGTTATGCCCCTTTTCCTTTTAAGTAGCACGTCTTCTCAAAAGCTGCACTATTCTTCTTTTCAGGCACCGGAAGTGGTTCCCTCTCTCATGCTATGATCCGGACCATCTCTCCAACGGGACATCTGTACACAGTGGAGTTTCATCAGCAGAGAGCAGAGAAAGCCATCGAGGAGTTTCGAGAGCACCGGGTGGACCACTTGGTGACTGTGAAGAACCAAGATGTCTGCAAAATGGGGTTTGGAGTCTCTGGTATTGCCGACGCAGTGTTTCTGGACATTCCGTCGCCATGGGAAGCGATCGGGCATGCCAAATCGGCTCTAAAACATGAAGGTAAGTTATTTGTTGTGTCTCTGTAGGTGAAATGGGAGAGTCCGTGTTGCCAAATAAACCCTCCAGATTCTTTCCCTGAAAACCCCAGATTATGCCATTGAAATATAAGATGCCAAAATGTTAAAGTGTGCATTTATTTATCTTGCAGTATGCTTTCCATGCCCTGACCTGGATAGCCCAGCTAAGCAGGGGTCAGCGCTGTTTACTATTTGGATGCAGTGCTCCCTCTAAGCTGTGCACATGAACGGCCGTTCATTAACACAGGAAGCCCCATTCAGCAGCAATCTGGAGCCACACAGGGTCTTGCACTGAAATGACATTTAATTAATTAGTTTAATTAATTGGATTTCTAGCCGGCCCTTCCCTGAACAGCAAGGCTCAGGGCAGGTTACAACAGTGAAAACACACAGTAAGTTAAAACAATTAAAACGCAATCCAAACTATATTTAAAACCCAATCCAGCATTGAATAATACATAAGGTGGCAATGAGACGGTAAGGGCACCCAGAGAAGTATGTATGCCTATAGATGGATGGAACCAAGTATAGATGTATGCCCGTAGATTGAACCAAGATGAAACCACTTGGCAACCACCCCCAACTGCAATGAGAAAAGCAGAGTGCTTTGTTTTGCATAACTTATGCAAATTATGAACATTTGCATAATTCCACTTAACAAAGAAGAGGGACTGTGGAAGACAGTGAAATTCCATCTCCCGGATGCTGGATGTCGACACCATCTTCATCCCATCCTCCAGCTTCTGAGATTTCAATTGGCACTGTCCACGTGTTCTTGCAGTCTTGAGGACTAGTGCCTTGGCCTTTTCTTTTTCTTTTTTTAAAAAAGCTGATATTCTCATAAATTCCAATTTTTATGAATTCCGTGCCAAATAGTAAATTCCACATTTGGAGAATACATACATATCTGTGGAATATGTAGCAGCCTACAATAACTAATGGAAGCTTTACTGATTGGAACTTTCCAGTGTGGAGAAAACAGAAGGGGAAGCCCCATCTCACTTTGAATGCTGTTCTTTTCTGGCTGGGGGGAGGGGGAGACCGGAGCCTCTCTCCTCTGCTCCATTCTTTTGTCTGTGCGTATATGAGAGCAAATGCCTGCCTCTGTGTGTGGGCGTACTTGATTCTCTGCGTTTTCCACTCGTGTTGGCATTCTCATGCATTATAGATACTTGCATTGTTTATGGTGATGCTGGGTATGGATTTGAAAGCGGAGCTGAGAAAAAGGGGGCTGTGACTCAGTGGTTAGAGTGCTTAATATGCAGAAGGGCTCCGGTTCAGTCCCCAGCTGCTCCATTTAAGAAGATCAGGTAACCGGGGTGATGCACAGCGACCTCTTTGGTTCATCGGATGATGCCCATGCAGTTTTCAACGTATATTGTAACAATCAAGAATACGACAGACATTATTTTTTTGTAGATAAATGAAAGCTGCAGTTAAAAAGAAAATATTGCCAGGTTGTGCACAAGGCAGAAAATAGAAGAGAGAGAGAGAGAGAGAGAGAGAGAGAGAGAGAGAGAGAGAGAGAGAGAGAGAAAGAGAGAGAGAGAGAAAGAAAGAAAGAAAGAAAGGAAATCTGATAGTTTCCTCTGTATGCAATGCTGCTGTTACTTGTACTGGGCTCTTATCTTTCTAAGTCACGTCATTCTTGCACTAAAACGCAAGGCCTGCTGTTGCTAAGATCCCTTAAGTCTTTTTAAAAAGGCGGGTGGGGGTGGGGGGCAAACGAGAGCTTCGGGTTTGCAGTAGAAGAAAGGCAAGAGAGAAAGAGAGATCTGGAAGCAGAAAAACATCTCTCTCCCACAGGTTTTTCCTTTGATGGCCGCAGTTGTTGGCACGTGCGGAATACATAAAAAAATGCTTTGTGAACTCCTGTCAAGCATATTCTAGCTGAGCGGCAAGTGTGGGGGGGCGGCATAGTAACATAACCGGGAGGAAGGGAAGGAGAATAAGCCCTCTCTGACATTTTGTCAAGAGAGGATGCGTGTGTGGAGAGTTACGATTCTGAGAGATCTTTCATGCTAATGACTGAAGCCAGAATGGAATGCTGGATAAACTGTTACTCAGCCTTAAGGAAGTTGGTTTCTGCAGGAGAAACGTTTGGGGTTGGGGCTGTGCCGTCGGGAGCGGATTGGCCATTTAACTTACAGGGAAATTTCCCGGTGGGCCACTGGTGGCCAAGAGCAAGTAGAGTCAAGCCCCAGGTACTTGCAAGTTGCCGGATGGATGAACTCCCTATAAGAGAACTGGCCATGACAGGATACATACAATTTTTCTTCTCTGTGAATCATGAACATAGGAAGTTGCCTTATACCAACCGTACCATTCGTCTGTCAAGCTCAGTTGTTCATCTTCTGTGAACCCGGGATGGCTCACAGGAAGTTGCCTTATACCCACAGTCCTCAGAGTGGTGCCATTGGCACCCTGGTGCCCATTGGCATCTTTTCTGGCTCCCACTACGTGTTTTTAGAAAGTGGGTGGGGCCAGGTAGAGCTTTTGCCCAGCAGGCCTTCCGATTGGCTATTGGAGATTTGATTGGCTGTGCAGATCTTTATTTTAATGTTGCTTTGGCGGCAGCTGCCTCCACAGCACAAGGATCCACACTGTGATATTGAAGTTAAGCTGTGGCAGCCATTTTGTGGCTGGCTCCACCCCCTGAAGCAGCCATTTTGTGGCCGCACCTACCGTGCCATGTCAGAATTTCAAATGTGCCCGTAGGCTCGAAAAGGATGGAGACCCTTGCCTTATACCAATCAGACCATTGGTCTGTGAAGCTCACTTTTGTCGATTCTGAGTAGCAGCTGCATATCACCTCCTACCTGACCCTTACAACAGAGATGCCGGGGATTGAACCTGAGACCTAATGCATGCAAAGCCGCTGTTCTACCACTGAGCCACGGTCCCTTCCTCTACATGTGTTCATGCTGCAGGGAGTAACTGCAAAGAATGTCCTACTGGGAGCTCTGTGTGCCCTCTCTTGACCTCATGTAGGCTGCGCAAACCACAAATTCACATGGCGTAGCATCCTTCCCTTATTCATATGCTCCAGCCTGATAGACATGATGCTTTTGTGACTTCCCTGCGCCGTATTTAATTATTAGGGGCTGAATAATTTAGTAGATCTAGCTGAACATTTCCACGACAAGATGCGTCTGGTGGTTCTCTGGAAAACCACTGTTGTTAGGGTACTTGAGACACACAGCATGGGGATCGGCAACGTGTTCAGCCAGGAGGGCTGAACTGAAAACACATCCTGGGCTAGAAGGCAGGAGGTTTTACATATTTGATTTGCATAGTACGCACACTGTCTTGTTTTTTTAATCACCCAAGATGCCAGAGTTGCCATCGGTGAACCTTCCGTGCTTTTTCTTCTGTGTTTTTATTCTGAATTGTGAAAAATCTGGATGGGTCCCTGAATTGACTTAGAATCGTAGAGTTGGAAGGGACCTCCAGGGTCATCTAGTCCAACCCCCTGCACAGTCCAGGAAATTCACAAATACCTCCCCCCCACACCCCCAATGACCCCTGTTCCATGCCCAGAAGATGGCAAAAAAACCCTCCAGGATCCCTGGCCAAACTGGCCTGGAGAAAAATTGCCCAAAGTGGTGATCAGCATTTCCCTGGGTATGTAAGAAAGGGATATGTTTACGCCTGGATCCCCACATTCAGAGTTCATTTGCCCCTGTACTGCCAGCTTGGTGTAGTGGTTAAGTGTGTGGACTCTGATCTGGGAGAACTGGGTTCGATTCCCCATTCCTCCACTTGCAGCTGCTGGATGACCTTGGGCAAGCCATAGTTCTGGCACAGCTGTTCTTGAGAAAGAGCCGTTTCTGTCAGAGCTCTCTCAGCCCCACCTACCTCACAGGGTATCTGTTGCGGGGAGGGGAAGGGAAATGAGTTTGTAAGCCACTCTGAGACTCTTGAGTGAAGGGCGGGGTATAAATCCAATCTCCTCCTCCTCCTCTTCCTCCTTCTTCTCCTCCTCTAGTTTCCCTAATGATATGTTCTGCATACAGATTGACAATAGGGAAATAAAATGCATTCTTGTCTGACACTTTTGCCAATTGGAAACCATCCTGTTTCTCCATATTCTGTCCTGATAGTGGCCTCTAGAGTTACCCAACACTCTTTGTCAGCATGGATCTTAAATAGGGTTACTGGCTCTGGGTTGGGAAATTTCTGGACATTTGATGGGTGGAGCCTGGTGAGGGCAAGGCTCGGGGAGAGAAGGTATAATGCCAAAGAATCCACCCTCCAGAGGAAGAGCCAGTTTGGTGTAGTGGTTAGGAGCGCGGACTCTAATCTGGGAGAACCGGGTTTGATTCCCCACTCTTCCACATGCATCCGCTGGTGTGACTTTGGGTCAGTGACAAGTTCTTTCAGAGCTGTCTCTCAAGGACAGTTCTGGAAAGAGCTCTCTCAGCCCCACCTACCTCACAGGGTGTCTGTTGTGGGGAGGGGAAGAGAAAGGGATCGTAAGCCGCTCTGAGACTCCTTTGGGTAGTAAAGGATGGGGTATAAATCCAGTCTCCTCTTCTTCCTCTTCCTCCTCTTCTTCTTCTTCCTCTTCCTCTTCCTCCTCCTCTTCCACCTCTTCCTCCTCCTCGTCCTGGAGACCAAGATCACTTGCAGTTCGAGGAGATCTCCAGTCCCAGCCTGGAGGATGGGAACTCCAAGAGGGAGAGAGAAGGGCAAAAAAGAAGGAATCAGGTAGTGATGAGTTTCTGTTTGGAATCCTGGCCTAGGTGAGCTGTAGGCAGGGTAAGATTAGCAGCCGTACTCCTCCCAGAAGACTTAAGGTACAATCTGATCGGAACGCCACATCATCTCCCTGTTAATCTGTCACCCGCTCCACCACCCCCAGGAGATCACATAACAATTATTTGAAAGTGGGTGTTAATTTCTAATTTACACATTCCATAAATCCTTAACAAGACCAGAGAGGGTTTCTCCCCCCCCCCCCCCCCCACAGGAGTGATTCAA